CATATCAAGCTTCTCTGTGAATTATTTTGGAACACTACCCCATCCTCATGCCATCAACAGAATTGGAATAAGTTTGAAGATGCTTGGTTATCCTATCTTGCAGCTTGGAGAATTATGGAGAACAATTGGCAGGAACCAGCTTTGGGGTCTAAGGCTGAGATTTTGTCCACCAAATGTGGCATAACCTTGAAGGCGTTATATTATTGGAGTAAATACAAAAATGAAAAAGTTGGGATCTCTTAAAGCTCAATTAGAAATGGAGATTAATGAACTCCAACACCTAGAATGTGTTGAAGGTGGCCTCCAATCGAAGCAAGTGGAAGAGTTGTGGGCGAAGGTCTACATGTTTATCACAACTCTGAACCATATTACTTCTTTGTGGTGGCAAAGGGCCAAAGTGCGATGGCTGAAAGAAGGAGATGCTAACTCCCATTTTTCCACTTTGTTGCAAGTGTTAGGAGGAATTTGATCCATGTTAAATGCAATTGAAACTGCTGATGGTATCGGCCTAAGAAACGAACGAACTCGTTTGCGTGGAAAATCATTGTGAGTGGGGCAGCTGCACTCAGTAAAATTATCTGGTGCGATGTGGGAAATGGTGAACACATTGACATCTTACGTGACATGTGGATCTTTGACCGACCACTGAATAAGTGGCCCACCCTAATGGATGTTCTCGAAACCGAAAGCATGCAGGTTTATGCACTGATTTTTGATGGGCAGTGGGATGAGGGGATGCTCCAACAATGTTTTGGGAGGAACTTTGTAGGATCATTCGACAAGTGCAGCTGTCTTGCCTGGAGCAAGTTAATTGGATTGTGGCCTTTCCCGCATACTTGGGGAAGTTCATCATGGCTTTGGCTATGATAGTTTGTTCACAGCAACCTCCATGGGATTGTTGGTTTCGGAAGCTTAAGCTTTAGCCTACGTGAGGCTAGTTTTTGGTGGCGAGTCTCTATGGATGGCGAGTCTCTATGGATACGATCCCAACAAACTTGTGGCTCTTTAGAGTAGGGATTGGCCCCTTGGGGATATCACAATGTGGAAGATCGTGATCATTTGGTTACTTGGTGTGAAGTCCTTGTGGCCATTCTCTAAGCCTTACAAAAAATGTGGTGTTGGGATTCCTAACCTTAGTTGCTTTGATGATATTTGCGGGTGGATAGGTGATCTTACTAAAGCTCAGAGGAGGGTGGGGAGGTATTTCTATTCTGCGGTTTGTCATAGTTGGAGAGCTAGAACCTCCAAGAAGCATGGGAAACCCTTTGGAACACCAATGGTCATGGCGGCTACGATCCTATCTTCCCTCACTAACACTCAGACTTCTATTTTGGAGCACTGAGGCATCTCTAAGATTTGTAGGCTTTATTCCTCCCCTCACCCCCTCTTAAGGCTTTGTGGGGTTAACTCCCCCCCCCCCCCCAATCCAAGCTGGTTGAAAGCTGATTTTGATGGGGCTCTCTTGCCTTTCGATCTTGCTAGTGTTGTTGTGATCATTCGGGATGAGACTGGAAATTGCTTGGTGTCTGCGGGCCGAAAGTTGCTACATTGGGACATTGCACATCTCGAACTCTAGGTGGTGTTGTTCCTTGTTTCTTTACTTCATTCTTGGATGTATGAGACTCGCGGTATCATGGTGGATGGGGACAATAACAACATTATTGACCTTTTCTATAGCACATTGGATATGAAGGCCTGGCAACAACCACCTTCTCATGGGCTTGACTTGGGCTTTCTTACTGAGTTTAGACGGGTTCTTTTTTGTCATATAGGTAGATCTAACAACACTCATGCTCGTTTTTGTGCTCACTCGGTTTTCGAGAGTGACTTTGTTCTTTCTAGCTTAGATGAGAGTCATTCCACCCTTTTTTTTTGTCAATGGGGATAGACCACCTCATGCCCCCGCTTCTTAGTGTTCTTTTGTAATTTTCGCTCTTTCCCCTTTGATGCAATGTGCAGCCCTTCAAAAAATAAAAAATAAAAAGTTAAATGAATTGAACCTGGTTCCAAATTTAGAAAACAGCTTTGAACAATATAAAGGTGATCTACAAAGTTAGTGCAATGTCTTTTGACTTGGATAAAGGATTTCTAAGCTTGAGATGGGCCTTGAAATATTCATAAAATTTATGTCTAAAATTTGGCAGGAGTAGTATGATGACATATTTTCAATTTTTTTTTCTGTCAATATTGAAGGGATGGAGATTTAAAATGCATTTCAATTCTACCAAAATTAGACACAAGGCCTGACAAAATGAGCTATTATAGCATCCATCTATAAAGTTATTTTAAAGATTGAAGCCAAAGAGAATATTGTTGTCTAGTTCAAGAAGTAAACAAAGTTGGGGAATAGAGATCCAACATGGAGTGATGGGAGATTCTAAGAAGCAATCAAAATGGGGAGACCATTTTACCATACTCATTAATATAATGGGATTGTTTTAATAATAATATTTTGTAATTAGCTTTTAACAAAAAAACTTTTTGATGACATGTCAAGGGTCAATGAACCGAACAAAATAGTCCCGTAATAACTTTAGATCCGACACTAACTTGTAAATTACCTCTGTGATAGAATAACTCATTGAGAAATTTCCAAGAATTGAAAGTTTGAGAGCCTAAAAAATATAGAATTTTTTTCTCAGAAAATAGGAGAGAAGACTCGCCTTCAAAAGTTTAAGTCTGGCTACATTGAAAATTGTCAGAATTTTGATCAAGTAATAATGGCTTATTATTGATTGGAGAGTAAAGTATTCATAACATTTGAATCACAAACAACATTTACATGGGAATGTGGAGGTTGATGTAGAAGAGGCTCAAGTGCCAAGTTGGAAGTAAGATTCACCAAAGAACCAATTTTAGGTTAGGGGATGGTGATCTCATGGGAGTCAACCATGGACATAGTAGAAATCACTATATGAGTTGGGATATGAAAAGGCTCTGAAGAATCAAAAAGTGAAGAACCTTTGATTGAAATCAATGGATATGGGATTGTATGGCCACAAACATGAGAGAGCGAGAGAGGACAACTTAATCATTTGTGGTGTCAGCAAGAACATTGCGACAAGAGCAACTGTGAGGGCACTATAGAGGCTGGACATGATGCTTACGCCGCTGCCATGAAGAGTTATTTTTTCTTTGTATATTCTATTATAGTTTGCAACTTTCTCATAAATTCAAAGGTTTTATGAACTATACAACATAAAAAGCTATTCTAAGAAATTTAGAGTTTTTTTTTTTCTTAATAAAATTAGGTAACTTAAGAACTCACTTACACGTCAAAGTTGCTCTACTGCTCCACCAAAGTTTCTGCTCGAGCTGCTCGACTGGTCGCGTCCCGTTCGTAGGCAGCAGCCAGCAAGCTGCGCCATTTACTGCAGGTGAAGCACGCTAATGGCCTCAGGGCTTTCCTACGCTGCCACCCTCGCCGGTGAGAACCCCGCCAAACTCTCCTATGCTACAATGTTCACAAACACAGCTCCCCTTTCCACCTCGCAGGCAGTTCGATATTCCAGCAGATGTACCATGATTCTGTTGCAGGATATGGAGATTGCAATATCATCAAAAAGTGGAGAAAAAGACGAGCAAACCAACAATATTCTTCTCTGATGTTGAATATTCAACTCGTGCGGGAAAATTCAAATTTACACTAGTTGGAAAGTTTCAAATAGGTTGCCTTAAGATGGAGATTAGCAAGAATGTTTTTGAAGATTTCAAACTGGTTGGGGGTTGGCAGGTGGGTCTTTTCGACGTAAGACATGTTATGATACAGCTGAGCATAGAAGAAGATTACACAAGGATTTTCTTAAAGAAATTTATCACAATTGAGGGTAAACATATGAAATTGCTCAAATGGACCCCTAATTTTGATCCCATTTAAGAACCCCCGATTGACCCTATGTGGTTCTCTTTATGTGAACTCAAGCTTCAATTCTTTGAGCTACCTATCTTGTATGCAATTGAGACTATTCTTGGAAAACCTTTGCAGGTAGACTTACCTACAGTTCATTTCTCAAGGCCCTCTATTGCAAGGATTTTGATTGAAAGATATATTGCACTACTAGATGTAGAAGAAATCTGGCTTGGCTCTGCTCACAATGGTTATTGGCAAAAAAATCATTATTGAACAAGAACCTTAATACTGCAAGCACTGTAAGATGTGTGGACACCCTCAGGAGAATGTTTCAGATTGCACCCACAGTTGAGAACTAATAATCAAAAGCAAGAACATGTTATTAGTGCACCTCACATGTCTGAACGCGCTCCCAGTAATCTTGATGACAGTTAACCTGAGGAGTGAATCACCACAAGACAGGAGTTGGTGACTGCCCCTGAGATCCCTTCTCCTGACCATACTACAATAGATAATGTTTGGACCGAAAATCAGGATAGCCCTGCAGTTCCTATTCAGGAAGCATCAGGAGCAGATGTGACAATTCACACTTCACATACACTGGAACTATCGTTGTGGCAACGACTGTCTTTCCTTCTACTGCGCTTCTAATATCTAATCAGACTGAGGATCACATGAGCCAGTCTTCAGATGAAGAATGACAGGTTTACACTTCTTGACGGAAGCAGAAGGCTGGGGGCACACTCTAACTTGTAAACTTAATGGATAATACTTTGGTTATCCCTAGCAATGACACGACATGACACGACGACACGACTCTTCAAAGTTTGTTATCTGGCTTCGCTCCTAAAACTAGAGGAAGAGGCAGGACTAAACTGGCTCGTCTCTAGCAACTTGTTTTCTACATGTTTAAAATTTTTTTCTGAGTCTATCTATATCTTTTTGTTGGGGTATTACTAGACTTATTATTGTATGGGTAGAGTGCCTCTATTGGATATATATATATAGATATACATATATACATATATACATATATACATATATACATATATACATATATACATAGATGAGCACGGTTATGTAAATATCATTAGTTCAACTCTTATATAACATTTGTTATTGAAGATTTCATTCTGCTCTTCTTCTTTAGATATCAGTTGATTCGGGTCAGTGCTAGGGGTACAAATGAGGGCTGCAAGTGGCTGGAAATGTTCGAAGATGCTCGCATTATAATATTTTGTGTCGACCTCAGTGACTACGATCAGCATAGTGTGCCTGTTCATGGAAGGAACAAGTCTCTAACTAATAGGATCATGCAGAGCAAGGAGCTCTTTGAAACAACTGTTAGGTGCCTTCTAACACCATACCCATTTCTTACTCATGTTATCAAGATTTTGTTTATCATGTTGATATTCTTGCCCGCTCACTGTCTAAATTCTGAACCAGGCAACCGTGCTTCAGAGATACACCTTTTGTTCTTCTGCTCAACAAGTATGACCTCTTTGAGGAAAAAATCGGTAGGGTGCTCCTTTCAACCTGTGAGTGGTTCCAAGATTTCTGCCCCTTGCGGACCACCCACAACAACCAATCCCTTGCCCATCAGGCCTATTACTATATTGCCATGAAGTTTAAGGATCTCTACTTCGCCGTTACCAACCGCAAGCTCTTTGTTTGGCAAACGAGGGCACGGGATCGGCCTACAGTTGATGAAGCTTTCAAGTATGTAAGAGAGGTGCTCAGATGGGAAGATGAGAAGGATGACAATTACGTTATTGAGGATTCTTTCTATAGCACCACTGAATTGAGCTCTTCACCATTCATCAGGCAGGAACAATGAACATATCTAGGGTGATCAACTGAACAAGTTCCATATTTGCAACTTATTTGGTGATATTATACTGAGATTTATCAGTGTATTGATAGGTGAGCAATTTTCTTTAATTGTAACATGAACTATACTTATACGGTAAAAAAAAAGAAAAAAAAAACTGTTCTTAATATGGTCGTATGAACAAATTTTAGGAACTGATTAAATGAAGAAATAATTATTCCTTTGTATTTGTGATTAGCTAGTTTGTATGTGACATGATTTCGTAAGATTTGGCACATATGAAGAGAGTTGTGTAATCTGAACATGACTTTTTCTAACCTAATGCAGAGCTTGGCGCTGTACTTCGTTGTAAATTGGATTAAGGGGAATTGTTTTCTACCTTATTTTGGACCCTTTTTTTTTATTATTATTGTTCTGAGATGCAGATAAAAATTTAGATCTTTTATGGGCATTTGTTGATCACCTATTTATCTAACATTTTGATAAAGGTAGGATGCATCTTCAAATATTCAAGTGTAATTCTATATTACTTAAATAATGGGGGTGAAAAAGGGTTTGATGTGAGTTAAATTTTCTGCAAAAGTGTAATGATGGGTCTAACATATTGCATAACATTTGTTGAAAGCTATTACCTTTTTCAAACGGGTTCCACTTATCTAAAAGACTCATTTCAAATCTCAAGTGTATTTTAATTTCATATAGGATTTGCTCGATCAAGTGAGAGATTTGTTGCATCACACATATGGGACCCACTCGGCTGTTTAATCAACCAAATCAGAAGGATGCACGAGTGCTACAAGCTGGTCCTAAAATATAGAAGGGATGTAGTTGGCATGGGGATTAAAATGAGCAATAGTTGATTGGGCCTACATGTGTTACATTTTACTCTAAGCATCGTGAACCTCCCTTTTATTGGGGTGGGATTTGAGAATCTTCTAAGAAAAAAATTTAAGTGAACTGAATCTCACATCGGAATGATAAGAGATAATCCTATAATATAAAAATAAATAATTAAGCCACAAGGTATTTAATTTGTTCTGTGTAAGATATGATTTTCTCTAAAAATTTCCATAGATAAGCTTGCTTGTAAGTTAACACTCATTAGATTGGAATTCTCTAAAAGTTTAGTCGAAAGGATAAAACTATAAAATATTGGGTTAAAGTGGAGCATACCTTAGTCTGGTATAGGAACTATATGAATTAAGTGGTCATATCTAATATATAATTTGCCACTAAACTAAAAATTCACTTCCAAATCATTGGACACGACTATAGAACACAAACGTATTTGCTGCCTAAATTCTATTAAAAAAGTCCTTACATTATCTTCTACTCCTAATCATTCATTAGGGCTAGACCAAGAACTGCTAACGATAATCACCATTATACATTTTAGTTTGATATGGAACATGTGAGGCAACGTGGACAATATTGGGTATCATATGATTTAAGACATTTTAATACCAAATCTTTACCTCTTATATATGATTTTGGAATTGACAATGAACCAAAATATAACCTAATGACCACATGACATTCCGAATCTTTAAAGAATATTATTATGAGGATTGAGAGTGATGCTTTGGTTGAAGCTTAACTGAGGAATCTACTAAAAGACTTCTAAAAAGAACACACATGAATAAACCAAATCTCAAATAAAAAATTTAGGAAAGGATTTTATGTTATATAAAGAATGGTAAGATCATGATATGACATTAAAATTTTCTTACTGCAGATGCTAAATTTTTCTTAAAAAACTCTGTAGTTAAATATGCTTATAATAAAACACCCTTATATGTTTAATAGAAAAAAAAAACTAAAAGATTTATCTTTATATAAGATATGTTGGCCACATACCTAAGGTATTACACAACTAGATGATCATACAAACTAAATTTTATCGATCACACAAAACCACTAAACTAATTAAAAGATCAATGTTTGATTGGCTCCAAAACTCTCATTTAAATTATTTGGCAGAGCGTAAGATAAAATCCTTTCACCACAAAAAAATTCTAAAATTGGCCACTGTCCTTTGCCTCAATTCTCAGCCCATTTCCACTTGAAGAAGATTCATAATTCCTACAAGTATTATGCAGTAGCATCTAGTATATAGCTTCACAACTATTATCAGTGTAGATTTTTCTCCAAACATCAAATTAATCAACTATTAAAAATTCTTCCCACATAATATTTCAAACATCAATCATGACTTGATATGCCCTTTAAAAGTCAAACTCATAATGCATTCTCAAAATTAGGTTTGTTTGGGCAGCTGTAGATTATTTATAATCTACTTATCTGCAGATTGTCCTGATAATCTGATAACCTGCAGATTTTCCTGATAAGGTGAATGAATTGTTTGCGGGAACTTATTTAGAACAGCTTTTTTTGCAGGTATTTCTGGATAAAAGACCATTCCACCCTTGTTAAGTAATGTTTTTTACAACAGAACTATCTGGGCAAAATAATTGATAAAACAGAAGCCGCAAACTATTACAGATCAATTTTAAAAAATAAGATAGAGTCCTCACTTACACATGAGTATCAAAAGTAATAAAATAAAGAGAAAAAAAATTACAACAATAATTAAAAATATTAAAATTTTTATTTTAAAACCCTGACGACGTATGACCTTAGCTTCACTATCCTTTTGAGAAACCATCGTGCCCTCATCACTGTTGGCAGTGAAATATGCCGGAAAGTCAGCCCAACGGAAGAAACTACAATGTGTTGAAACGCCCCTGCGATAACCGTAGAGCTGTCTCCTATAGCTGTGAGGCTGACGCAACGTGAGTAAGGGAGCTTATAGTCCGCAGTAACACAACACAACTCAGAAGGTAATTTGAAATCCTAGAGCACATGTTGCTACAGAGATAAAAAAGAGAAATCATTTGTCCGATTAGAAAATTAAATTAAGTTTATATAAGAGAATTGAATTAAAAAAAAATCGTATCGGAAAAAAAATCATAAATAAAAAAAAATGTGAGTGTGTGGTCTTAGACAACTAACTACACCAACCTATGAGTCTATTACTACAAGGAGACAATGAACCTTAAAAAAAAGAGTTCTTGGTTGCCTTTAACCCATGGGAGACAATCACAAACTCACAAAAAAATTAGTCAATGAAAAACAAATCTCAAGCATGTATGTATTATATATTAGAAAGTATCAATGAAACAAACGAAATACATAATAAAGTCATAAATTTTAAATTTACAATACAATGAAATATATACGAAAAAAACATATAGTCTGAGAAATAAAGAACATTGGGTCAATCAACGGTCACAAATTACATCTTTAATAGACTCCCTCAAAGCAGCCATCTCGGATACACTTTCTTCATCTTAAGTGTCAAATTAATTCAACTCCATCTCATCCTCAAGTAATGAATGCCCAACCAGAAATTCTTAAGGTTCTGGAGAGACATCCATTTGTTCGTTGTCAGCCATACTGAAACTCTTATCTACTCAAGAGGGATGTTGTCGGATAAAGTTGTGAAGTGTCATAGTGGCCACCACAATATGCACCTATTTGAAAAATAGATACGATGGAATATCACGTAGGATGATCCATTTTTTCTTCCAAACCCTAAATGTTCTTTCAGTGACCCCGCTTAAGGAAGAGTGAAATTTGTTGAACATTTCTTTCTACCACAGGTGGTGTCATTTGCTCTCTTGAAATCAAGAATATGGTATTTGGTGTCTGGATAGGGCTTCAGGTACCCCCTCTGCATCGGATATCCAGCATCAACCAAATAATATTTTCTTGTTATAAAAAATACTATTAGTGACAAATAATACATATAACTAATAGGTTTACATAACTAAACAAACTCAGAGGAGGATGAGGGAAACACTGTGTTTTGTTCATAGTTGCATATGTAAAAGGATGACTGTCATGTTGATGCGGAGGGCAGATTTAGTGTGAGATTTTTACAAAAAATTTTCAATATTACAAAATTACACACGACAGATATATAATAAATATACAATATAATCCCAACAAAAACACTTTTTATGAATATAATTTATCTTTTAAAACTCTTTTTAAACTGCCAAATCCCTTTTAAAATCAATGCAAGTATACATATCACTCAAGTAATAAAGGGCTCTAATGGAGTCCTAGATATCGATCTCACAAGGAAGTTGGAAAATACTAAAAGTAAATTATGAAAATTATTTTATAATCTAAAAATATGAAAATAAAAATGAAGTAAATTGTGAAGTTTGAAAATTAACTACTCAGGTGAATGTTAATTAAAATGCAAATGTAAGACTACAGAAGTTAAACTAGACTAAATACTAAACTTTCAAAAGTAAAATTAAGAAAATTAAACAAATTTTTTGTTGTGATGGAAAGTTCAAATTGAAGAGAGAATCATTCCCCTTTACAATGAGTATATGGATTGTGAAGAAATTGAAATCATTTGAAAATATATATAAAACTATTTTGTGCAAAATAAGAACAATTCTATTCTTTATCCTCTTCTGAGTGCTATAAAGAACATTGACTAATCCAGAGTTTGGTCCCTAATTGCTGGGAGGAAACCCGCTGCCACTCCAGAGCTCCCACTACTCCCTCACCTGAGGGCTAACAATCTCACATTAGTTTCCAATCAATTGGACCAAATTGGGGATTTTAATCTGTCACCTTAAAATCTCTAATTCTGCATCCAACAAAGTATATTTCCCTATTTATTTGCACCCAATCCCATGGATTACATACTCGCCGGTGAAATGAAATGTGATTCTCTCTAAGTTGTAGAAATCATATCTCATTTAAGAACATATGTCTCTTAAAAAGTTTTAACATTTTAATTGGCTGGATCGAAAAGTAAATGAAGATCAGAGACAAAATCATCACAAATTATTAATATTTAAAAGCATAGGAAATAAAATCTATTCTTCACAAAACCATATCTCAAAGTAGGGAGAAGGATAAAGAAGACTACTCCGAATTTATGAGAAGGATATGACAAAACATGTACTTCATATATAAAAACAACTTTACCAAATCTGTTGTTTTTCTAGAAATAAAAATACAACTTATATCACAATCCTTCCAAAGAAAATCCCTAGAAGTTCTCTCCAAGCCTTTCTCTCTTTACAATCACTCCCAATTCTCTCTTAGAAGTGTAATGAAGAAGAAATCTCTCACATTCCCTCTCCTCTTACAACCCTAGAAGAAAATCTCCTCTTCTCTCTCTATCTCTAACTCTCGCCCACTTTCTCTCTCTCTCATGCCACACACACTTGACAAATGAGAAGTCTTCTTCTT